ATCTGGAGCAGGTCCAGTTCTCACTCCAGGTGTTCCGCTCCTGAAAGCACTCTGGAGGCCACAGCTGATGGGATTTACAGCTCTGGACCCCATCAAGGGGGCAACTGATACAATACATCAGCCAACTTCAGCCCTTGAAATGCCTCATTTCAAACCCATCTATGTCCTCTCCCCTCAGAGAGGTACCTGGTCTGCTGGGGACAACACTGAAATCCTTGCCACCTGGAATGTGTTTATGGAAGAAAACCTTTTTCCCTCTGACAAGCTTTCATTTTCAGTGTCCAGCCTTCTTTACACCCAGCTTACAGTTCCAGGTTACAGTTAAGTCAGGCAGATACCACACTTCAACCACACTGCTGTACTTCCAATATGCCTTCACTGCACAACAAGGATAAGAACACTCTGTGATATTAAAACTTCAAATTGAAAGCAACTTTTTATTAACCAAGATGTCTGTCCTTAGTACCTACCTGATAGGCTTTCCATATTTACTCACATGCTACCAAAGAAGTTATTTTTCTGTATAGTTTCACTATCTTCCTATACCCAACCCCCCCAAAAAAAAACAAACCAAAACCTCTCCATTGTTTACCAAAAGGCACTAAAAGAAAGTCCCTGTCCTTACTCATTGAAGTCAGAATCCAGGACATAATTTGATTAGATTAAGATTTAGGACTTTTAGCATGAAATCTGCAGTATACATCTGAGTCACATAAGAATCCTCCAATATAACATTACCTTCTTCCCTACAGATCATGAAGAGATGCTTAAGACTAATATTCTGTGTCATCATCTGAGGCTTTCTGCTATAGCTGCTGTTACACCAATTGGTTTAGAAATTCCATCTCTTGGTATCTAAAACTCCTTTTCAGATTTCCTTTCAGTAGCAAGTAGCAAAGTCCAATAACCAGGTTTTACATTTTGGAAGGGGGAAAAGGAGCAAAGAGCTCCAAAAAGAGCTTTGGAAAAGCTCCAAAGAGCACTTGACAGACCGAAGATGAAGATACTTCCTTAAGTCTAATGAGGTACTAAATCACTACTATCACAGGTCTGCTACCAATTGCATGCTATTTAGAGAAGAAGATGCATCTTGTGCTCTTTTCTCATTCCCTTAATCAACAATTCCTTCCTGGAAACAAAGAACCACCTTACTCCTCCAAGTCTTCTTGAAACAGACTCTTTCTTACAACAAATTGAACTTTAGTAGAGGAATATATATTGCCATAAAACTATTTTTTTGTGTGTGTTCCTAACTATATTTTTTGAAAAAAAGATTAAAAATCATTCTTTCCTAAATAAATATACAACAGCAGGCTTCTACACCAATCTCCCCCTCTTCTTTAGATCTCCCACAGAGAAAATTGTAAGTCTTAGAAAATTACGTTAATGGAAGTCAGTGATTTCAATATTTAGACAAAGTTAACACAATAAGAAATTACCAATCATAAGTGAAAACTAGTAGAGGTTATGCAGTATTTTACCATGCTGCTGCATGTAAAGTCTTTTAGATCTTTCCAGAAATTTCATATGAACCTTTGTAATTAGTCCAAAATAAAGGGATCTCAATTGAATCATTAATGACTGTGGTGAAAGCAGTCTAGATTTCTTGATCCATGCAATGTTGAGAAAATCTAGCCAAATGACTCAGATCACTTTAGTTTGTGCTTTAGAACAAGTGACAGCTCCAGAAAGAACAGGCTTTAGAGCTAGGCACTCTTCTGTTGAAGTAGGAGATAAACATTAGAGGCTGTTCCACAGAGACAGCTTTATTGTAAGGTAACCATTCACAACTAGCTATACAAACTTAACACAAAGGAGCAAAACAACAAGGAGCAAAATCTGAAGTTTACCTGTGACTTTGTTTCACTGGTGTCAACAGCTTCACACATCACAAGTACTTTAGGGAAAATATCCAAGAACAGCATTCCATAGCTGAGACCAGTGGGATGGGATTTGTCTGGGTCCTCAGCAGATGCCATGCCAATTTAAACATTGTTAATTTATTATGAGCAACAGTGATCCAAGCAGATATATTATTCATAAGGAAATCAAAGGCCCAAGGAAGAGGATCACATACCATTACTTGTTTCAGGTCTCTTTGCAGAGATTATTGCACCATGAGAGAACTGTGCCAGCCAAGACGCTCTACAAACTGGTAGAGAGCCAGACTGAAAAGCAAACAGATTTATGCTTAAAGACAGACACAGCAAGTTCAAGTAATTCCTTTACAGTCAGAGCATAAGTGGACTTACCAGAAGACTATTTATAATGTCACAATTTATGCTCAAGTGACAGATCATGTGCATAAGGCCAGATGGGCTGAACTAAAGGTACTGGGGTTTAAAAAACTTACAGACTTTAATAAAGCCTTTGACACCCTTTCCCACAGTATTCTCCTGGAGAAACAGTCTGCTTATGGCTTGGATGGACAGACTTCATTGGGTAAAAGTGGGCTGGATGCCTGGGCCCAGAGCATGGCTGTCAATGGAGTTAACCCTGTTGGTGGCTGGTCACAAGCAGTGTTCCCCAGGGCTCAGTATTGGGTCATATTGTTTAGTATCTTTGTCAGTGATCTGAATGAGGGAATCAAGGGCACCCTCAGTAAGTTTGCAGAGGACATGAAGTTTGGCAGGTGTGTTGATCTTCTTGAAGGTAGGGAGGCTCCACAGAGGGATCTGGGGAGACTAGATGGATAGGCCAAGACCAGTGGTATGAGGTTCAACTAGGCCAAGTGCCATGTCCTACACTTAGGTTACAACAACTCCATGCAACACTACAGGCTTGAAGACGAGTAGCTGGAAAGCTACCTGGCAGAAAGAGACCTGGAGATATTGATTGGCAACCAGCTAAATATGAACCAGCAGTGTGCACAGGTGGCAAAGAAAGCCAATGGCATCCTGGCTTTTATCAGAAATAGTGTGGCAAGCAGGACTATGGAAGTGATTGTTACCCTGTAGTTCGAACTGGTGAGGATGCACCTTGTTGAGTTTTGGGCCCCTCAACGCAAGGGCATTGAGGTTCTGGAGTGTGTCCAAAGGGCAACAAAGCTAGTGAAAGGTCTAGAGCACAAGTCTTACAATGAATGGCTGAAGGAACTGGGGTTGTTTAGTCTGGAGATAAGGAAGCTGAGGGGAGACCTTATCACCCTCTGGAACTACGTGAAAGGAAGTTGTATCGAGGTGGATGTTGGTCTTTTCTCCCAAGTAACAAGTCAAGAAGAAACAGCCTCAAGTTGCACCAGGGGAGGTTTAGACTGGACATTAAGAGAAAGTTCTTCACTGAAAGCATCGTTAAGCAGTGGAACAGGCTGCCCAGGGAGGTGGTGGGGTCACCATCCTCAGATGTATTAAAAGACATGTAGATATGGTGCTGAGACACATGATTTAGTCGTGGACTTGGCAGTGATGGGTTAACAGTTGGACTTGATTTTAAAGGTCTTTTCCAGCATAAACAATTCTATGAAAGGATCCTTTGCCACCTTTGTACATGCTCAGGTGCTACTTGAAATGCATACATGAAGTCTTCTTGAACTTGGCCACTACACCAACATCACAAAACTGCAACCATCACAAGAGTCATCACACTCAGTCAGACCTTGGGCTTACAGAAGTCAGTCCTTAGTAAATTCAGTGTATTTTACAATGAATTTATAACTTTAATATTACTTCCCAAATCTACTTCATTATAAAGAATTAATTGAAGGCCAGTCAGACCACTGAAACCAGCAGCAATGGAAAAGAGATAGAGGGAAGAGGGAAGAAGGGGAGAACACAGAACAGGAGATTAAGCTCTTAGAGGTGGAATGAATCAAAGAAGAGGAGGGGTGTCCATGTATGTGTGTTTAGAGGCTATGCTGCAATTACAACTTCCACAGAGTGGTTCAGACCTTGCTTCAAGCCTGGCTGTGTTTGTTCAATTGCTTCTATAAATGGACATAAACAAGTTAAGCAACTGCAGGCCCATATAATTTGTTTCAACTTGGTACCACATCAAACCAGCAGCATTCCATCACCAGCATTTAAACAAAACAAAACAAAACAAAAAAATCACTTAGTGACAACAGATTAAAATGCTCCCTGCAGCAAAGACCAAAGCTCAGACCCTCCTTCTCCAGACACACACCCTGTTTGATAGTCACGCTTATATGACAGGATGCTTCACAACTGAAATTAAGCAAGAAGGTAGATGACATCTTACAACCAGCCTCAAACAGCATACGTGGTGTTACACATAAGGTGCATGCTCTCATTGTCAGATTATCTTCATTAAAGGAGCAGAAGCTGCTACCTGTAATCAATCCCTACTTTAAGTCTGACAAGACCTAGCTCCTAAGGAGGTTTCAAGGGTGTGAATCCCAAGCAGAATCAGGTATTTAAACTCTTGATCCTCTCAATAGGAGGACAAATGCTTATGTCCTCAACTTCCACGTGTGCTGGCTCACACCAATTACCATTTAAAAGAAACTGCCAGTGCCTTAGAATAAATAGCAAATGTAGCTATTTAATAAAGGGAGGACAATCTTCCTTTCAGGAGTCAGTGTTGTAATACTGAGTATCACAGTATGTTTATGTTTCCATTTGTGAATCTAGCTATAGATACCAGGACATGAACAAACTACGAGTGTCAAACAATGCCAAAAGACAAACATCTAGGATAATTAATCCCCCAGTAAACATTTACATTCAATTCAGCACTGAAAAGACTGCAAATCTACCCCGAACAAACCAAACCTACGCTACAGCCAAACACCATTTCCAAGCCTGTGAGAAGTCTGCCAAACAAAGCAGGACATTTCTTCCATGAAAACCAAGTTACGTACAAAGCAGAAACTGTAATACCATTCTGCTCGCAAATACTAAACAACCTGGGCTTTAAAAAGGTAGAGACTGGACTTTCCATAGTTAAGACAAAGACAAACACTAATTGTGGGTTTCTAAATGTGTTCTTTATTTGTAATTTAACATCTGAACAGAAATCTGCAAGCATGCAGGCATAACCTTTCAGTGATGTTTCTGTTTAAACTGAAGTCCACAGTAACCACATGTTCCAGTCTTTGTTTCTTTGTCCTGTAAAAACATAAAAACACAACAGCTGCTAGTTTCACTTCATAAAACTCCTGGAAATTACAATTTCTCTTATTTATATGTGCCATCTTAAAATGGATCGATATAGCTGAACTACAGAGTTTAATCTTACTTGAAACACTGGAAATAAGACTGATGGTATGAAGGTCATGCTTGATTTCTACATCCTGTGCTACCTCCCTTCTGCTAAGCTTTTAACTACCAGGCCTAATCTCAATATAATTTTAAAGTCAAGCCAAGTGATATCTCTTCAGTAATAAAGGATTGTCTTACTGAACTGGCCATCTTAAGTCAGTTCAGTCATATCTGTTCTAAAGATAATTTCATAATTATTTTAATACAGAATAGAGTTTGGCATTTCCAAGTTATAACTAGACAAGAATTTTGTCCAGTAATGTACACTGACAGAATTAGCTGCAAGAAGGAAATTTCAGTAGGATTCCAAGAGAAATTCTGAAACAAAACATTTTAGAGAAAAAGAGCAGTTACTACTGGACAAAGTTTTATTCTTCTCTCCAAAAGATACTATTTTTTATAAAATTTACAAACGTGACTGGCTGCGAGCAGTTGCTGTAGTCCTCCTTAACATGGCAAAAGACAAGACATAAAAAACCACATGTTATTTAGCAACATGGCTATTTGCAGTCATGAAATGAAGTAAACTCGTGGTTTCCCTTCCTTCATGATGAAAAGTCTGGATTTCAATTCAAAGGCTAGGGGAAACAAGCTGGTCTAGTACTATTCTCTCTCTGCAGACACAGGCTTTCAAGAACTAAACCACAGACACCTTGTATTTTGATTGTTAACACAAAAAGATCTCAAAATTCACAAAAACTAAAGCATTGCTCAAGAATAGTGTGACACAGATCAAAAAATCAACATAAATGCAACCAATTAGCAGTGTGCTACAGAAGTTAACTGAAGGCTGAAAAACACAAGCTTCCGAAGTTTTATGAATTAGAACCCCCATGCATTTGACTTTGAAGAATGTAAAATGAATCATTACAAAGTGCTTACTTTGTTCAAACTAGAAATGCTTCTGACTGTAGTTGGGAGTTGCAACAACACCGACACTAAAGGACACCAGCTCTCCCCTCCCATTCTTTTGGGTATTAAGAAATATCACAGTTTAAGTGAGCAAGCAAAGACTTTAAGACATCAGCAGTCAGGGTCTGCCTGAGGACAGAACCTAAAGCAACAAGTCACTGTTGATTCCACCAAGGTCACATGACCCCAATATTCTTACTCTCTAGAATAAGAATACACTGGAAACTACCACTACTGTCAGGATAAATACAAATATAACAAGATATTTATTCTGCACCGATCCTCTGACTATGACAGAAACTTTTAATCTTCAAAACTACCACGATTCCCAAAGACTGAAAGAGTTTGGGTTTTGGTTTTTTTTTTTTCTTCTTTGATTTTGCATTCTGCACATTCATTTCATATTCCTGAGAATATTGCAAATGTATCCTCAATCTACATGGTGGCACTTAAATAAATACAGCAACTTTCTGAAAACACAGCAAACATTTCTTTTTGCACACAAAGCACTTTTGGCTCATATTATTTTATAGTTAATTTAAACAAAAAGTCCCATCAAACAAATCAAGATCAATAGCAAGAAATGCCTGGTAACTTCAAATGGAGACCTCATTCTTCTGAGTAGAAATCTTAATTTTATATTAGGCATCAAAATTAACAGCTGGGGTGGTTAATCTTTTTACTCAAAGAAAAATGCTAAAAAGTAGATGATCTTAGAAACAAGATGCGACATGCAAAACATGCTGTACAGAGATCAAAAGATATTACCAAGTTTATGTATACTTTAGGATGTCCCAAAGCTCCACCACCACCATCGCACGATATCACTCTGCTTTCAACTTCACTCACAGGCTGCTCTGCTATCAAATCAATTGCAAAATTCTTGTTCACCTAGAAGAGAAAAAGGAATCTTTCAGGTAACTTCCCCATTCAGACAGAAAGCACTTGCTATGTACTGCCTCCCGAAGTGGTTCAACAACAGCCACTCTGAGAATCTCCTGCATGTTTCCTCCCACCTCCTCCAGCAACTCTTAGGCTACAAGCCAGCCCAGTGAACCGATCAGGTCAGATCACGCTGAACTCTGGAGAAGTAATCCCCTTCCCCCAGTACACAGGCCACATCAGTGCTCAGGTTTCCAAAGTGACCTAAGCAGATCCAGCAGAGGTGAACAGGAACAAGTAGCCAAGAACAGAAGATATTTAACTGACACTGCTGCTGTACTGTGCTTTAGCAATTACACGATAAAGCTGCAAGAGACTCACTGCTGATAAACTCAAAAATAATGGTGGGACAAGTAAGGTCAGGAGTGAGATAAAAAAACCTGCTGGTAATTTAGAGCCTCTCACCATGCACCTTATTCTATCACTGTACAGAGTCTCAGAAAAACATGAACGTGGTGCATAGCAGTCAGAAAGGCAAATTGTTCTGCATTATTAAAAAAGAAAACCCTAAATGTCACTATGCCACTCTGTAAATCCATCTTATACACACTCCCTGACTATATCAGGACTATCACTGGCAAGTAGGGCTTTTTCCTAGAGCACATCTATGTGGCCTGGCAACATACCCACCTCTGGACAGGCCTGTGACACAGCAGGACCTACAGCACCCAGCCACAGCACCTCCCACCCTGCTCTGAGCCAGCACTGGGCAGACAACCAGCCCTGCCCCCCAGGCGAACACACCCGGAGAGGGGACAGCTCTTACAAAGGCAACGTCACACACACAGGGATATAAAGTAACATCCACATCCAAGGAAGGCACTATCTGCTGCTCTCTGGACAAGGTTCATAAATATGCTGGTATGGGAATGGGGATGCTTGGGAAAAAGATAGCTAAGTGTCCATTAAATTAATCCCTAAAAACTACAATGGTATTTTATATAAGTCCAGTACACAACAACTTAGGATCTTTCAGCAAGCAAAGTTTCCCCAAAATCTACAGTTTTGGTACAGCAGTGGAAAAGTCATCATTTTGCCAACAACTGGATTTTCTTTACCTAAAGGTGATGACAACTAAACAAAGTTAATGAAAAATCAACTTTCAATATTGAAACAAATTGGCAATATCAAGAACATCACTACTCGGGGCCTGTGTCCACCAGCCCCAAGTAATCTTTGCCAACCCGCAGGGATTTTAACTGCTGCTTTTAATAACACTCAAAATTGTGCACCCTGCATTTCATGGTAAAAGAGAAGGGAGGCAGCACCAGGATGCAGCTCTGATTCAAGATGAGAATCAGAACTCCATTCTTCCCAATATTTTTTAGCCACAAAGGTATTTGTGCTGAAAAGGAGAAAGCAAGAACCCCTCATCCACTGTACAGCTGTGATCTGTCTGTGGTTCAGCCTACAGAACAGAGTATGAATTTGCAGGTAAAATATGCCAAAAAAAACCAAACCAAAACAAAAACACACACACACAGAAAGACTGAGAAAAACTGTAAAAAAAAAAAAAAAAAAAAAAAAAAAAAAAAAGAAAAAAAAAATAAAAAAAAAAAAAAAAAAAAAAAAAAAGGACACCTCCAGTTACACTGTGTCACTCCAACTAAAGCACACTGGCACTTCACAGGAAGGGTCTGTTTCCCTCAGCACATCCAAATGCTCCTTACCTAATTCATTTTTCAATGAGCAACTTTTTCCTGACTGTAGCACCAGTTTCACAATCCCATCAATGCTTCCCTCCACCTAGTCGTCTGTGCCAGTACGTGGGCCAAGAGATAAAAGCAAACTTGGAACTGACCCAGGTCCAAAGATCCAGAGGGAAGGCAGGAGGTTACATTTGAACCAGACCGGCTGAGGTCAGTTTCCCTCCGGCTGCTGCACCAGCCAAACAAAACCGGTAGAGCCCAAGCAAGAACAGCGGTGTGGGGCTGGGTCCTGTGGCACCCCAGGGACTGTACAAGAGCAGGATGATGCAGCAGAACAGTTCCCTGCTCAGTTTCTCACAGCTGCTTGCGTTAGGCCCTTACCACAACGCACTAATCCCCTGGTTCTGCACACCCAGCCCAGAGAACAATGACTGGGGTAATGAAATCCATGTGGTTTAGCTAGTTAGGCTGGCAGCACTGAAGGGAACTGACACACACTGTGCCCCTGGGCCTGGACTGGCCGCCTGCAGCACCCAGCCACGGGCCCAGACGTCCTCGCCGAGGGCACCTCTGTCCAGAGGCTGGCTCCAGACAGGAAAGCTGCCCAGGCTGGACTGGGATGATCACAAGCCAGACCCAACCACTTGCAGTGTACCGCAAGCAGAGACAAAAAGCAACCAAGAAGTACAGTCACCAACCTCACAGGCCAGCTTTAGCTTCAGAAACAAGACGCTTGGACTGCACACAATTGTGAAACTAGTACTAGCAGCTGAAACACACTAGGGGATCTGCTAGGGTAATGGCAAAGCTCCTAAAGAGATCCCTTTCATAAACACAGATGGGGACCTTTTCAATATTCTACATGTGAATTTTATTCTAGCGTCATAAATAAAACCTAGCATTGAACCTTGCTTGGAGGAACTGAGCTGAACTGAAAAACCTGGGTGTTCCTCACCACAACACAGAGTCCAAACTCAGCTGGTGGCAAAGGCACATCAGAAGGACCAGGGCCTTACGGAGAAACAGGCTCAAGGAGCACTTCCTCCAGTTACAGAAGCAGCACAGAAAGAGGCGTTGCATTTGGGAGAGACCTAGTCTGCCTCCATCCTCACAGAAGTATACCACTTCTTTGTTTTAAATGACATTTTAATTTAACTTTTTCCCCTGTAGAATCCTTACTTTTACCACACAGCACAAATTAAATTTTATCAGTGATATGATGAGGTAAACTCAGTATGAAAACTCAAGACATCAGCATAGTGAGTTCAGGTTGATTTAGGAGGGCAATATTTACATATAACTGTATTAAAAAATCTACCACACCTTGTACCCTCTTAGTATACATGCACATTTATAGCATTAACATCAAGGCACTAAGCAGATGCTCAGGCACTGAGGAATACAATTTAGGTGAAACAATCTCTGTTCCTCTCCCAAAGGCCAGCAGATCCCTCAGGGAACTGTGCTGCTCCAACATGAGAGAGAACTCAGTGCTAAGGGGCTTACTATTTTGTGTACCCAAACTACTGATGAGCAGCAGCAACAGGCCCATAAGATAACTTCAAAGTTGGTCATCTGGCTCATGCTGGTGTTACTACACTTTGCCTTTGAGGTTTTGTTATTTCAGAATGCTCTAAATGTCAGTTTTATTTGTTAAATCACATAATTGTTTCAGCAAATGCTTCTCAGATGTTGGAAATTAAGTGCCCTCATTAAAAGCTCCTATGCATTTTGGGTAAAGATTTTAACTACACAGAGGCGAGTTAATCTTCAAAACATACATTTAAATAGATATATAGAGCCCCAGTTCAGCAGAGTATTATGTGACTTTTCTGAACACAAAGGGCACTAAAAACATGCATAAAGTTTTCTTAAAACACATAGTTAAGACAAAAAGTGGTCCAAGGTTAAGATGCTCAAATACTTAAAACTTCCACAGCCTAAAAGTAAGCACTTAACAGGTATATGGCAAGTCTTGAATTTCCCAAATTTACCCAAAGCAGGGAGGTGCACAAAACCTACTATAAACTGCTTTAACAGAAAAATTTTCACCATCACAAAAAAAAAAAAACCAAAAAAAACACAAAAGCCAAAATCCAGATCAGTTCTCATGGGTCTTTTTCGATGGTTGCTTACTTCGATTGTGGATTTTGGCTTTGGTTGGTTTGGTTTTGGTTATTGTTAAAAACCAAACAAACAAAACAGAAAACAAGAATCAAGTTGAAGACACAATATCAAGCATAAAACCACCCACAAATAACTCCCTCTCCTGCGAGTAGAAGCAGAACGTTACCTCCTTTTGTCGTCCAACAAATCTAACTCTTCTATAATCCTTTTCTTCATACACCTAAAGCACAAAACAAATCTGATCTTAATTTAAAAGCACTAAACATAAGAACACAAAAGTTTACAGCACTGTCAAGACTAAGTAGTTTAAGTAATTTCCTCCATTTCAAGTATTGCCATGATGCTACAAGATTGTACTGCACAGATAAAAGCAGTTTCCACTTTTCTCACACAGGAAAATGAATTTTAGGTTGGAAAGTAAAAATGTAAGGGGGAGGGAGATGTTTAAAGACATTAAATAGAAGCATTAGCTCTGACCACATAGACAAAAATAAAATTTATTACTTATAATGCTGTTCCTTAATCCCACACTGCCATCTGCAAGGTGAATTAAAATGGGAAACTCAAATTTTGTATTTATGCTCGCGTCAGGTAAGGGCAGCGAGAACCTTCCCACGCCAGCTCCCCCAGCCGCGCTTCCTTCACGCTT